ATTCCCCACCATCTCCAACGCATCTCCAACCATTCAACCATCTCAACCATCTCCAAACCATCTCCAAACCATTCTCGCAACATCTCCCAAACCTCTCCAACCAGCTCCAACCATCTCCAACCATCTCAGACCATCTCGCCCATCTTCCGGCCCAGTCTCCGGCCCAATCTCGGCCCACTTCTCCGGCCATCTTCCCGGCCATCTTCCGGCCAGTCTTTTCCGGCCCCCATCTCCGGGCCATCTCCCCGGCCCAATCTCCGGGCCCATCTTCCGGCCAAATTTTTCCCGCCTTTTTTTTTTTTTTTTTTTTTTTTTTTTTTTTTTTTTTTTTTTTTTGTTTTTCGACCATCTCCGACCATCTCCGACCATCTCCGACCATCTCCGACCATCTCCGACCATCTCCGACCATCCCATCATTCCTCCGTCACCCAAAACCCCTAACAATTTAACCCGTCTTCTCAATAATCAAATATCCCTTCTACTCCCTGCCAAGATTCCCGACACTTCCGTTCCCATAAGGGGGAGAGAGTTGTCGAGAAACTTAGGATCAACTTAAAGGTCAAACCCACCAAAGATGCCGCCAGTTTGAAGAGACACCGCAAGGGGCCAGGCGTACCCAACAAAATATCCGCTTTGTTGCGTATGCCATACTACCACATATAATACTACTACTCCCGCACTTCTCTTATATTGCAAATTGCCTAGCGCACAGGCGCTGCTTCATTTGGCAGACTTCGGCACGTTGACAACTACACAGCACAAAAAGGAGTTTTAGGAAAACATATATCATCCAGTTTTAGATCTCGTGTGTGCATTTTCTCCCCTTGATACCCCTATATTCCATAACTAAAATATGCCTGAGGATGTCTTCTGTTTCCTGTTTCAACTGGAATTATTTAAAAATCATCTACAGTAGTGCTGAACAAGCCGCATCACCTTTCTCATAGTGGGAATCTGCAATATAATCCTAGAAGTACAACACTTTATCCGTACAATTCCAGCGGATTATGAAGGTAATGGAATCAGAAACATCTCATAATCCACATAAAATATACGATTATCAATTAATAATTGTTGAAATTTTTGAGAGTGTGTTGGATTATAAAATGCCGAAAATTCTCATTTTCCTTAGGTGTTGCGTTTTTTAGCATTATGCCACGGTTTAGCATTGGTGAACTCTTAGCTTATAGGAAATTAGGAAAAGTCTCAAATCAACGAAAACACTGTATCTAGATATATTAACTGTAAACAATTGTAAATGTTAGTATTCAATTTGAATACATGCTCTGTTTTACTGTTCCAGCTGTGTCTGTATCTGTTGGAGTATGGACCCTCGTTGCCATCAGCTTGGAGCGTTATTTTGCCATCTGCCGACCTCTCAAGTCTCGACGCTGGCAAACGCAGTTCCACGCTTACAAAATGATCGCCTTTGTGTGGATTGGCAGCTTGCTCTGGAACATGCCGATCCTGGTCGTGTCACGCTTGAAGGCTATGAGAGAGAAAGGTAAGATTATTCCTTTCCTCGAAATTTCTATTTATTTCTTTTTGTTTATGGGGTATTTATTACAAGTAAGAATCTTTTTACAGCGATGAAGTTTTCACTTACAGTGCAATTGAGAAACATTAATTCATAACTTTTGCATAGCATTTAATAATTAGACTTTCCGTGGGGCGGTGAGTCCTAGACTGATTTTTATATACTCCAAAAGGCCATTTCCGTCATTTCCCCTACCAGGAAAATAAACATTTTTGTAAAATACTGCAATGGTGGTAAAATATTGAAGATATATTTTGGATGTCTAATTTTAAATTCTATGTATATAAAAATACACATGTCTCAGAACAAATGTAATAAACTTCTATGGTATGTAAGGAGACGATCACTTTTGGCCAACGAAGATTTGATGAGAAATCTAATACAACGAAGTTATTCAGGAAACTCATCGTGCACTGGGATGTGGCAAGTTTACGTTGTGACGCGGTGCAAGAGATTTCGTGTACATGCCAAACGCAAAGAGAGATCATGGTGAAGAAGCACACTGGAATGAAAATATTAAAGAACTAAAACACTGTATTTCTAGTAATTTAGTAGAACTAAACAAATATAATGTACCTGCAATTTTCGTGTAATAATACCAGCGTGTACTGTTGGAACAAGTAGTATTCATGAGTCGTAAGTAGAATATATTTGAGGAATTCCGGTACAAAAACGCGTAATCGTTATCTACCATTACACATTGGTAAGAGATACCTGGTTGGGGGGAATCCCGCTAGCCTACGGTAGGGCAGGCATCCAGCGAGGGAAGATCACAGCTAGCTCCCGAGGAAAAACATACACTGCACTTACAGGAATAATGGCCCCCGAAATTGTCGCGCCCGGAATAACTAACAACCAACCAACGAACCTAGATGGACGCCGTTCGTGGACAGAGAGCACTGCGTTCACCCATGATCTTGACGGAAAATGACATGTTTTTACTCTCTCGTATACCTACGTATTAACGGAGTATTGTACGTAGTATAGAGATAGTTACATAATGCTGCCGAAAATCGATTTTGAGATTTCAAAGAAAATACAGATTTGGGGTCCCCCGATACCGAAAAGGGTGTTTTTCAAAACGTCCGTCCGTCTATGTGTCCGTCTGTGTGTCGAAAAATCGAAACTTAATGAAAATGAAATATAAAAAAATTACATCTACTACTCGCGTATTTGAGTGAAACTAAATTTTGAAGAACGCGCGAAATGGTGAATCGCTCACGTTTTCTTCTTCTCTGTTGAAATATAGTCCATAACGCGTCCACTGTTTCGTCTCCGACGGGTGATGTACGGTATGTTAACAGGACGTTCCCATGTTCTGCTAGGTCCCTGCTGTGCGTTCTTCCGCTGTCGTCCTGTGTCTGAAGACTAACCTTGTGCAATACCGCTGTGATTTGTAACACAAATAAAAGTTAAATGAGAAAGTTGATACTAAAGAGCGTATTGTATAGTGAAATCAGGTCCGTCTCAGACTCGTTTACAATGTTCAATGTTCGATTATGTTCGGTTTTGAAGGTAATGCAGTTCAGGTGCCCTATGTACTCCAAAAACCTATCTCTGTTATTGCTGTGTAGCATGTACAATTGGAGTATACAGTGACCAAGGAAAGGTTCATTGTTTACAAAATCCACAAAAGGAAGGAGTAAACACGAAAGATAAACTGGAGAAAATATAATCGTTTTCAATAATAACAAACCGATGAAGTATTACCGTGTTTACATGAATGCTGATGGCTTAAGCAAAATATTACAATGCGAGAATAAATAACACGCGGATTGTCAACGGTGAGTGTGATGCTGACGTTTTCGCAGTAACAACAAACGAAACGGCTCGCTGGAAACTGAATATCTAGATGCTGGCAATACTTCACTGTCCTTCCCCTAATATATTTCTAGGAAGCTTGATAGAGTTTCAAAAATATATGGTTGTATCCTCAATAGAAATATTTGAAAGCAAAGATGATCGGGGCGCTGCCGTCAACCAATGACTAGTTAAAGGTATAAAGGTTGCAATGCATTAGCAAGCCGTTGCACTCCCCTCTGGACTTAAGAATTTAAAACAATATTCTGAAAATACTTTTGAATCATAAATAAAGCTATGAGAGGCATATTATCGACACGGGGAAGACACAAGCGCTGATTCTTTTGAATGTTTCTCCCGTCAGTTTTACATAGCCGACACGGTTGATGAAGTTTGTAGCAGAAGTCCGGAGCAGTCGCGGTGTCTCAATAACAAAAATAGTCGCCAACAGGATGAAGATCATATGAAGTAGAATTAATTCCAATTACAAATCGTTTTTACTTTTATTTTGAAAAATGATATCTAGTTTACAGAAGACAGTTGATGCAAGTTATTAATATGAATACATGCATTAAATACGTACATTAATAAATAAAAAATACTTTAAAGTACAAAAGATTGCAAATGTCAAATTGTAATACATTTTCTATATATTTCAGACTGCACAGCTTACTATGCAATACCACTGTGATTTGTGACACTCATAAACTTTTAGTGTGAAATTAGATACCAAAGAGCATTTTGTATAATGAAAGTAGTTCCATTAGATGTAGAAGGGGCTTAAAGCATTGCTCTTGTATGTGAAATCAAAGCAGTTGATTTGAGTCTCGCATAACAGATGGACGTTTTCACTGCGTCGTTGGGGAGTGATTGGCTTTTCATGCCACCATGTATCGCGTGTGAACCTTCATTACATACATAATCTTTCATCTCTGATTGTACACCTATCATGGATTGGAAATTACCGATAAATCTAGGAATTGCGTAGTGCTGAGTTGAATTATAGGTTATTTTCCAAATATAGTCATATTTAGTATGTCTATTTCGCAAATAAGCACATTAATAAACTCAAGAAGACTATTGAAACAACAAATAAAGCAAATAATGTATATTGTTCGATTTAGTTGCCAGAAAAGCGATATATCACTGTCTCCCGGAATGATGTTATATAAAAGATCGGTAGATATAGTACAAAGAAAATGAAATCTAAATTACTGCGTTTATATTAATTATTAATACATATCTGGTTAACAATTTCATAAAAAATAATGAAATAATATTAAACTAATTAAAACAACATCATTAAAATTGTTGAAAATCTTGTCTTCAGAACTAAATGTAGGTGCAGGAATTCCCATATTAGTTACCATTGCCGGATGATATTTATTTGACCTGTAGATACGTTTTCAGTGCTGTTGTGGAGGTGGGTCCGGTTTTAAGAAGTTTGTTTTCTTGCATCCCAACTTGTAGCATACAAGACAATTGTAGATTGAAAATGTAGGCTGCCAAGAGGCTTCGCATTGCTTAATTCTATTACTGTTTATTTCCACAGTGTAGTGCAATGCGGTACACATTTAGAGAGCAAAATTGACTATTGAATGAAAAGAACCGCACGTCACCCTAAATTACATTGATGGGAACATTTGATTAGAATTTGTTTATATATGCCTGGAAATTGTGAAAATACAAATACATTCTTACTTCAGCTCAGGAGCAGAATTTTCGGAATAGTCCAAGCGTTAGGGGGCAGTTTGTGACTCGGTCGCAGGTTATACAATCACCGCTTTTATTCTATCCATTGATTCTCAAATTCATGTAAATTAATATATTCTGAATTAGTATTCTTCACATTTCATTTACATTCTTTGTTATGCAATTCGCTCAAAGTCTCTGACTATTTCGTTCCCACCAGCGAGATTTGCGGCCGTGTCTGAAAATTGAGTTATCGGTCGAATTGTCATTATTTTTCGTACGCGCGCCTCTTCTAACTAGGGAAGTTCGCAGTTGTATGACACCGAGATCTACATGAACCCTGATTTATTAAAAAGGAAAACGAACTCCCAAACAGGGGTGCCAGGGTAATGTACGACCTCATTAGATTTTACAAAAACCTATAACTCAAGTTTTAGGATTCTTTTTCAGGCGCCTAAAGCAAAGTTCCATACTCCGCATGCAGACGGAACTTCAATCACCAGCAGAATATGAAATCACGTAGGAGATCCGTATGTGAAATCTCTGACCGGGAGGTCCTAGATTCGAATCCCGACGGTGACAGGCTTCTTCGACAGTAGCTAGGTACTTCGGTCGAGTTCAGTTGCTGTCTGAAGGAGAAATCTAGCGGCCGGCTGCTCTGATCGGTAGCATTCTGTGGTTTCTCTGTTCAATACCAGGCGAATGTCGGAGCAGTACTCTAACCCCTCTCCATTCAGCGGGGAAAAGATCACCGTTATCTCCCGCGATAAAACATGCACTACACAATGACTAATGACTTTAGTAATTGACGCTAATCAATCACTAATCTATCAATCAATAAATGTAAGTGAAAGCAAAGCTAAGTTGCATTTATACTTTGTAAAGCTACATTATAGTATTGTAGAGTCGATTGTAGAGTCGATTATTGTAGACACGAGAAGACTGAGACGGTATCTGGTAAGCCACATTTAGAGTATATAGTTTAGGGTAGGGATCGCATAATTAAGAAAACGTGCACAGAATACACTTCTCCCCGTAGCGCGTCACACACAGGTGTTAACTCTTTTGACGTAAAATGAAAAAGACAGCAAAAGACAATTGTGACTATGTGCAAAAACCAAGGCAGCTGGGCTCGGGACAAGACCTCTTCTCGTGTGCCACTCTTTTCCTCGCGTCCTCATTACCGACATCTTTTTTGGACTAAGAAACATCCAGAAGTCTGAGAAACAGACGAAAAATCTTGTCTAAACGGAAAGTGTTTAATGAGGTAATTTGTTGACGATATGAGACAATATTTTATAATTTGATATTTTATTAAAACAAAGAAAAAAAAATAAAAAATCATCCGATCTTGATCTACATTACTAAGAAACAGTGCCAATATATACAACAGACAAATGAATTTTCACATGTAAACATAAAGCAACATTGTAACTGAAGTACTGACATTCATGCTGATGTATTTTTCTACATTGTTAC